CTTTTTCGGTGAAGTAAAAAGTAGACTTGTTGACCATTCTGGGCAGAACATAGAGGAAGAAGTCTGTCGCAAGTATAATGTTTTCTCTCGTACAATTCCGTTTCAAGAAACAGCAGAATATATCACCAAACTCCCACGGTATTGGAGCAGAAGAGTCATAGCTTTGTTAAAAACCCATTGCCTTCCATTGAATAACAATCTCTATCGGTGGAAATTAACTAGTTCGCCCTTATGTGAGAGGTGTAACTCTCATGAAATTGAAGATGAATTTCACTTTATTTTCTATTGTTCACACTTTGTCCATCAAAGGAAACTGTTAATACCTCCCAGTCTGACTCGGCCCAGTGACAGAAATATGCAATGTTTGACCCATGATAAGAGATATGTGCACAACCAGTACCTATTCATTATGGAAACTTTACTTATTAAATGACTGTTTCATGTGATGTGATGTGGGCCAAAGGCCTTAAAAACTGAATAAACTTACTTGTGTTTGTTACTCTCTTATAAGACGTCTTATCTTCGGCACTAATATGTGATGACACATAGTCGTTCATTCTCTCTCTCTCTCTCTCTCTCTCTCTCTCTCTCTCTCTCTCTCTCTCTCTCTCCGTTTCACTTGTTCCAGTGGTCATAAAAAATGCAATACAAGGTGGATAACCGTGGTAAACAGGAAAGTAAGACAATAAAATTTTGTTTTCCCCCTTTACATAGCAGAATGACCAATCAAGTCTTTCCCAGATAATATTCAGAATATCAGGCCTATATTATTTTAATCTTATTTTTTTCTTGAATTAAATAAATTTTATCCAGAGAATAATAAAACCTTGGGCGGCTGGAAAGGACGGGCGTGAGAACCAAATTGAAAGACAGGATAGTTTCATAGATTTGGAAACATAATGTTGTTTTGGTTCATTGTGGGCTGTTTTGTGATGTTATGTACTACTACTTCATTGAATGAGATCTTTTTTCTTCTACTATCTCAGTATTATGTGTACACCCTTGGCTCAAAGAAAAGAAAATCTGAAAAGTTAATTTTCAGGTAGCTATTACAAATATTTCAACAGCAATACAATGTTTGCCTTCTGTAATTAAATTCAAAAGGGAGCAAAACAATTATGATAATTGTTTACAGCAATTATAGTAATTGTTTACAATCGTGTATTAGTTATTTTCAATGAAATTAGAATGCAAACCACAAGGTTAACAAGCTTCGGCAACAAAGGTTGAAAGGGTTCGGCTGATCACAGTGCCTCCCTTCCCATCCACAGCACCCCAGAAACAAAAATTAACATGCCTCACTGATTGTGCAAATTAGCTCTTCCAAAAATTAAATTATTGCAAAATTTTACAATAATGCTGCATAGTATTATAACTAATTCTACCTCAAAATTAATGTTAAGATTTAAAAGCAATTTTTTAATCTTTGAATGAATTCAGCTTACCTTTTGTTGTCGCACAGTATCTTAGGATTAAAAACTCACACACAGGCAAGTTTTCTCCATCACAAGCTTTAGTAATTGAGCTCTCCCAGTTAACCAAGGTTGTCATTAAAATTCTAATGAACCGTCCTTTTAAGAAGGGTACACAATAAATTGGCACAATGAGACAAAAGATGCAAAATGAGTGAAGTTATGTTAACACTTTGCCATCTCTTGGCGCAATAATACGCCGGTGAAAATGATCCGTTCCAGTCTTATGCCAGGCCCGAGAGGTCAGTTGCAGTCACTCTCCTGGCTGGATGACCAGATGGGGTATTTTGTACTGCAGGCAGTGTGACTGTAAAGTGTTGAGGGAAAAATGTGAAAAAACACAAATACCAAATTAAAATCTAAAGTTTTATTTTGTATTCTGTAAACATGACCCTATAGTACAACTAAGATACACTGGTCCAAAAGAAAGTGTCATAAACATTTCACCAAAATCAACTAATAATCTAAGAAAGCTGGATATATATTTTATATAGATTTACTCTAAAACATTGTCAGTCACTCTTGTAAAGCAAAAGGGAAAGAGAAAAATATCGTTTTTCAAACATCATTTTGATAATGGTGCACCTTGATGTCAAAACAACAGTTTTATCAACATTTGCGCATGAATGTATATGTAGCTATATTATGGCTGCATTTGACATCCTGAGCACTGACAATTTCCAAAAGTGTCCTTCTTTAAACAAGCCGCAGCAGGCCCAGAGTTTGCAGTAGACAAAAAAACTGCAATCTACGTGAACTATTGTCAAAAAAAAAAAAGTAGAATCTAGTGAGCACAAGGCAGCTTCCTGAGGATTCAAAGATGATGTAAATAAAAATCTATATTCTATACGTAAAGTATATAAAATTCAAATAACATTACAGGATTTCAACACTGTGTTGCACAAAAAGCATTGCAATGTTCAGAAGGTAAAGTCAAACGTCCTCAGATTTTTAACATACTGAAGTATTTTGTAGACACATTTCGTCAGCTCACTAATCAACATGTTTTTGCATGTGGGTTTATATATCTATGTGGATGTTGTGTGGGTGTGTGTGCTTGTGTGTGTGTGTGTATGTGTGTGTGTGTGTGTGTGTGTATGTGTGTGTGTGTGTGCTTGTGTGTGCGCATGAGCTGGAGCGTGTACTTGTGTGTATGAGTGTGTGTGTGTGTGTGTGTGTGTGTGTGTGTGTGTGTGTGTGTGTGTGTGTATGTGTGTGTGTGTGTGTGTTTGTGTATGCGCATGAGCTGGAGCGTGTACTTGTGTGTCTGAGTGCTTGTATGAGTTTGTTTGTGTGTTGGTTTGCAAGAAAATGTGAGCACATGAATGTATTCAAATATTTTAGCATGAATTCCATTGTGGTGTCAGTTATATTTGTGGCAAATATGCACAGCAGCAGATACTCCTCGAATCAAAAAGAGCCTAAAAAATAGTACTTTGAGTAGGAACAAACTGAACAAAGATGATTGTATAGACTTCCGAAAGCAGAACTTACATTGAGAGAACAATTAAAAATCCTCCATTCATACAAGAGACGTATTTGTTTAAAAAAAAGAGTAGCACAAGAGTACTTCTTGACCAAGAAATTATATCTTCCATTCTTAACGTGAAGGTCCCCTTATAAGCTCTATTACACCACATACATATATAGCATACAAATCTACAAGATATGTACCAAGTTGAGGTTTTCTTTTCTTCACCCTGCAAAAGCAAATTTTACATTTTTTATTTTTTTTAGGTACATTGTAAAACTTTATCGTTACACAATATTAAAAAAAATTCTCCAAATGTATACCCTTTTCCAAGCAAAGTCAAGCACTTTTTAAAAATTGAAAGATAAAAAAAAAAATCTACAAGTCTAATAAATTAATTTAATACTTAACTATTTTTTTTTCCCAATTACCAACATTTTCCACCATTCTGCCAATACCAACCGACACCCTTGCCACTCAGTTCCTACATTTTATTTCATTTACTCATCCCAAGCCTAAATTTGAAATAATGACTTATCATTGGTGGTTGCAGATGATAAAATCATTGATAGATGAAAGTAAAACAAACCCATGCCTACAATTTTGGATACATAAATGAAGAAGACCTCAGTTGACCTTCAGTCATACTTTAAGTAATTTAGTTATTCAGCATGGGATTTCAAAGTCTAATTTAAACAAAAGAGTACAATTAACAGCACTGGCTATTATATTATAACAAACTTGTACAGCATTTTATTAGATACAATAGCCAAAAAATCCTTCACAATAAGTATTCTGGAGAAACTCTATCATATTTTTCTTGCATTCTTACCAAAAGTAGAGATTGAAGAGACCCTTTAAAAATACTTATAAATGTTTATAACAGATCTATACTTAGCATAATCATGCACTTAGGAAAATCAGTGACTGAATACATGTAAACCATCAACATCTATGATACATTCTCCTAGTCTTTTAAATCTGAACTAGCACCAATGCATAAAATTACTGTAAAACTGCTTTAGGCACATCAAAGAGTAGGCCTATGGCAAGACATCTTATCCTGAACATCTTGAGTTTTCAACCACAGTACCAATTTTTCCTAATGCACAAAATGTACTAAAAATCTCTTTGTGCTCTTTACTCGAGACATATAATTGTTGAAGCAAACAACCCTCCCTCTTGGCACTTCATTTTCAAATCCAACAACCACTGGCAATGTCCATACATTTTTGGCTGTGTCTGGATAGCCTACACATACCATTAATTTGTGACAGCTCCCATAACCCATACATTAAACATCGTGAGCCCGTATGGTGTGGCCTATATCATAGAATCAGCTGATTTTGGCAATCATGTGGACCGTAAAATGTGTGTCATACAGGATTTTGTAACATGAAACAGCACTACAATAACTTTGAATGGAATTTTACTGGAAAACGGATGAAAGATTCAAAATCTGCTATAATATAATGTATGAATTACATAAATCTTTAATTTGACTGTGACTGCAAAATGATTGAAACTACTCCGTCCTGGCTTGCAAAAATTCGGCCAAGTAAAAGTTGGAAAAAAGAAACCCACAAGATCAAGGGTTTTTATATCACCATATCTTGAGCAAACCTATGCACTCAAATATGTGCTTTTCCAAAATTCAAAAATCATCTTGGTTCAAATAAATGACATATCTGTACCAGAAAACACAATGATAGAATGTTTTCCGAAAACAATTTAATTTGTATATATATATATATATATATATATATACATCACTGGCCCAATAACATCTGACAAATGGCCTGAAAGGCCATCTTTCCCTTTCAACAAATAGTAGGCCTAATAGGAATAATTTTCAACTGACACCGATCAAACCATCATTCTCTCTTCACAAATTTAATTATAAAGGCTCCTTTGCACATTACTCTCTCAAAAAGCAAAATAGAGATGTTCATGAATTCAGCTGTTGACATTGCAAACATCAAACAAGAGTGGACAAGTCAATAAAACAAGCACATACAAAATAATCCAAGCTAGAGGTCTTTGAAGACAAAGACTGATTTTTTTTTTCCGTTTATTTTTTATGAACCTGGTTATTGCGAACAGTACATAGAATAATTTTAATTTGATAAAATAATAACAAGTGCAGTCTTTTTTAAACCCATTCCCTACTTCAGATTGGGAACAGGTTGTTTTTTAAAATTTTTATGGGGGGGGGGGGGGGGGGGGTTAAGTAGAGGAAAAGAGTTAAAGGTTTGAATAAAGGCTTAGGTTTTAAACAGTGGGTTGAAGAATGACATTAGAATTTGGAGATAAGGAAAGGACAACACTTTCTCTCCTCTGAAAACCTTAAAATAAACCTTTATCCTGGACTCTTTTTCATTTAATATTTACAGTTCAGACATGATCAATTAATCAATAGTGAAGAAAAACAAAGTGAGGAATAACAAACTCAAAACCCTGTAGTTCATTGATGAAGTATAAAATTTTCTCTCATCACTTTTTGCAACCACTCCCTTTCACACTACCCTTCATATATGGAAGACAGCCCAAAAGAAATGACCTTGAATAAAACAAAATGTTCAACACTTGAAACAAGCTAAACATTAAGTAAGTGTGTACATTGTTCTTCAAATCAACATCAAAGTAAACCCAACCATATATGGGGGCTTACTTTTGACATGTATTTAACTCCCAATATTTAGACAATTTGAAAGCAAACCAAGATCCTGTGAATAGAAATCATCACAGTTGAGTATCTACTTTCCCACTGTCTTTACTTTCCTTTCTTTCACTCTCATCATATTGATTTTTGTCACTGACATTGCTGACATCATACATTTTTTTCCCTTTCTCTTCAGTAACATAACCTGAGCTTGGTTTTTCTAATTCGTCCTTTTTAGGTTTTCCATTCAAAGGATCAACAGACACATCATCAAAGCTGCCATCATTATTGGAAGCTTTATCATTTTTCTGAAAAGAGAAAGAAAAAAAAGAAGACTGAGGTTAATTTTGCATTTCTATCTTTTCATTATTAACGAAAACAAACCCATTTATACTGAACAGTAGCCTACATCAAATGAATGCAATTACATCATTAGCAGTAGCAGTAAGAATTTATGAAGGTGACAGTAAAAGTGTTGACAGCAGCTAAGTTAAACTCATATTCAATTAGCAGTCATCTGTATAAAATAAGATTAATAATAGGTGATGAAATTTTCTAAGACAGCTACCTATTGTCAAGGAGAAAAGTGGTTTTCTTATACAGGTGATAACACAGAGCTATTTTGATATTTCAAAAAGCTAATGGAGGAAATGGGAAGTGACCATTTGAACAAGTGATTGTCTTAAACAGGTTGCCAATAGAGCAAGTTCAACTAATACATTAGCTGAAGAGAGTGCTAAGGTCAATAGATGGTGTTAGTCCGTACATTATCAGTTTGACCTTCTTTGCACTGTTTGCCTTGTTGCTGAAATTTTGTTCCAACTTTCCTCCAGGTAGAAGATTTCTCCTTCTTTTCTTGAAAGGCTATTTTTTTTCAAAGAGCACCCCCTTAATTTCTGTGTTTGTACTGGTGGAAGGATATACTATTATTTTGAAGATCAGACAAGGTTAAAAACAAATATACAGGATTGCTTGCGGGGCAAACAGAATTCAATACTGACAAAAAGAATTAAACTCTATCAACAATAATTTAAAGTATGTCATAAGACAGTCACCATTACAATTTTGCACTAATGACAAAAAATGGAGATTGATATAAACACTTACACCCTCATGGTTGATACCAAATCTGAGAGGCTTGCGGATGGCTTCAGGAAGAAGGTTGAAAGGAAAGATGTGATCACAAAGAGGGCAGATCAGTCGAGGATCTAAGCTTGAGGGCTTTGTTGGTCCTGAGAAGTTAAAAAAAGCAAAATGAAGATTCACTTTATTCTTATATGATCTCCATGAATGGATGTAGGAATAGTGTATGTACAGGCCTCTTTCACTATCATTCAGGAAAATACACATGGACAGGACAAAAGGCCCTGCAGAGGAACCAGGGTAACATGAAAAGTTGAAGACCATCCTGACATGTTTGTGATTAATCATTTTTGACTACATTTGTACATGTAAGCCAATATTATCAAAGGTTTTCATTTGTGGTATTTGGGGGGGGGGGGGTTGTTTAGCTCTGAGGATTCATTTCTATATGAACACCTTTAAGTAAGGACCATACTGTAACAACAAGTGAAGAAATTATGAAATGCATAATGCCAATACGGCCAACAATTAAAAATATGCTAGTATCTGGTAAAAAAGAAAAAAGTCGGGTAATCAATTCATTTTTGTGCTGTATTCAAAGTAAATTGAGATCAATAGCACTTGAAAGTACAACAAACTTTGCATTTTGTAGCGAGTTAAAGTTGAATTGGAAGACTTTACTGAGATTTCAAAGCCAATGAATTTACTAGGCACCTTGTGTCATGTTACCTTTTATTATGATCTTAATACATGTGTAGGCCCTACACATGCGTAGATCTCTTCTTTTCTTAATCATTTCAACTGTTTTAAAATTAGTGGAGTTTACAGATAATGCAATACATGTACTAATACTCGAGTTTCAGGTACCTAAACACTGAAATTTCCCAACTTAAACTCCCTACTGAAAATACCTTCAGTACGTCATTTGAAGTCAAGGCATGCCCTGCTGGGTAGCATAATAACAAAAAACTTATAGACAAAATACTAAACCACATGAATAATTACGTTACTTAGAGTGAGGTTAAAAATTCGTAGCGCAACTAATTATCGTCAAATATGTCCTAAACTATCGAACACAAACTCTCCAGCTTTTGTTCAATGACTTCTATCAATTTGTCTTTGCATATCAATATTTTCAAAAACGCCAGTTAGCTGTATCCTAGAAAATTTCTTTATAAACACTAATAAAAAATCCAACTGGGTGATTTCTACATATTTTAAAAGGTTTACCGCTGGGGCAATATCGCTTTTAAAAGCAAGTCCATCATTTCTTTTCTAATCGTGACACTATCGTCATTGATTGCCTGTTTTCATAACCTTTAGTGCAAAAAATGTGTTCACAATAAAAATCAATTTTTGTAACAAGTTTTGCAACTATAAAGGGTCATCGGTGAACTGTGTCGTAATATGTGTATGCAAATTGTGTGTGAGAAGCAGGAAGTGCTGTGAACGATCCCATTTTCCGTGAGACAGAAATTTATAGTACTTAATACAAACTTGGGCAGAAATCTTTTAAAATCTAGCCTGAATTGTTGTTGGAAAAATGATTAAGTTAAGACAAATTGATACAAACTGCTGTGCAAAGTATAGATGACATTTTTCCCCCCGTTAATGAGATATTTGAGGATAAGTTGTGCCACAAATTTTTGACCACATTATAATAAGTATTTCCTGACTGCTGTGTACTGGCCAGTGGGAATGTTAAAATAATTTTGGCACCTATCTTATAATCCAGCATCTCTGCTATGACCTACCTGTTAAGAAGCTGACAATCAACCCAATGACGATGACTGTAAGGACTGCTGTGGCACTGTACCACAGATATGACAAAGTGTACAGTGGGTATGTTGGGTCCCTGTGAAGGAAAATTACAACAATGGTAATGTTTAATAACAAACAACAGGGATATACCTATTTCAAGTTTGCTAATGAAATCATTGTTCTTTCCACAAAACTTGACTCAGTGTTTTGTTTTGTGGTTGTTGTTTTTATGTGCAACTAGAGTTTGTATTATTCAAAGCACAAAACTCTACTTCGTCTGCCTAAATTATCTAAATTGTGCCAACAAGAGCATAAAACAATTACAATAGGACAAAACTATTCTCTATTCTTGATGAACTTGAGAGCTGACTATGTAGCATTCTGTAAGTCGGTTTTTTACTCTCTGAAAGATATAAACCTTACCACATGGAAGAGGCACTTCTTTTTCAAGCAAAATTATCCCATCTATTAAAATCAAATAGATATAAATAGACTTTATTCCATTAAGGTATCATTTCCTTCTGTTATGAACCTCTAGAGAATGAGGTGATTGAAGAACCTGGAGGACGCGCCAACGTGTCAGACACTGATGTAACAGACACTCGATTTAACTGGTCATACTGACCTTTCTGGCGGTGGTGGACTGGTGGAGTTGTCCATAATGAGAGCCACGGTAGCGTTGTTGAAGCTGGTCAGGTTGCAGTTGGTGTGGAACCTAAGGGCTTTCACCTGGGGTGGTTTAACCACTGCAGCACCAACACCGATCCAAAACATAAGGACGAGGCCACTGATGAGTCCAGAGAAGGCGCCCTGTCACATGTCAGAAAAACTATGTAAACAAGTACAGACTGTTTTTGGTGAAAACTTCATCCTTTTTCCTCAAAGCATTTGTAATTATCTACCTTTCATACAACCAGCTTATGTCAAATCCTTCAAATCTTCCGGCCGACAAGGTTTCTAACGCAGATCTGTTATGAAAATGTAGGCAAGAGGACATGACCACCATAATAAAAAGGAGAAGAAGGAGATGGATGGGGCATGTTCTGAGAAGAGAAACAGACTCTATTGGGAAGACTTCCTTCCACTAAATACCCAAAGGAAATCGCAAGAGAGGCAGACCCAAAGTGACCTGGAGATGCACAGTAGAGTCTGAAACGAAGTCCTGGAATCATTCGTGGGGGGCGTTGACCAAGATGGCCCACAACAGACAGAGCTGGAGACCCTTTGTTGCTGCCCTAAACGTCAGATGGCGTAACGGGTAGTAAGTAATTAATTTTAATTAGACAATACCATCGCAGTACGAAATTTTATTAGATTAACATACCAAGGTACATTTTTTGGAACAATTCATTTAAATGAAAATCACAATTTATTTCACTGTGATAAAGCATAGGAAAAAAAGTTATCCACACGCTGGACCTGTATGAGTGACCAATCAGGCACTTGAACTTGGGAGGGGGCTAGGACCTCATCACATAGCTCTGAGTATCTGCACCATGCAGCAAAAAGATAATTCATGTATCACCATGCATTCTGATAGCAGCATGACTCGTATGAAAGGACTAAATAATCAATAGTTAAGAGTCAGAGAGAAAACTTGTCTTACTGACTGCACTTCTGTTACAAGTTTACTGAGCACTTTACTGTATCCTTTTTATTCATCCATACCCCACTTAGTTTCACTTTTAATTCAAGAATTTATTAGGTTTTTTTAATTTATCAAAATAATTTGTAATATAGTGGACTCTCTACTTTTCATATGAATGTGGGTACAAATCACAAATGCATTCTCACTGAAATCTGTCAAAACGTACCCATTTGTTGGCCCATGGGAAGAACATTCCAAGTGAGAACACTCCAAGCAAAGGCCCTCCGATCATGCCAAATAAGGAAAGGGCAGCCTGAAAAGAGAAAGTAAAAAATGTAAATGTTATTTGAAACATTTTTTCGGTAATCGCACAGTTTTATGATGAAGTTATTATAGTCTTCAGAAGTCTTTCATATCAATGATTTGAGTGTTGAAGAAGAAAGTACCATACTTGCAGTGGTCCTTCAAAGATAATTGGAATGTGAAAATAAAGAATTTATGTTTCATGTTGTTGTTGTTAGCGATCCAGTAGCATCTGAGCATTCATTCTTCTGCATGATGCCATTCGGTTATAGCTGCAAGTCTGTTCTAATTGTTGTCTTGAGGAGTAGAGGCAATTAGATGTGTGGAGTAGCTTGGGAAGAAAACATCCCCTTAAATCAGTTAGTTTTGTACAGAAGAACAGATGATGTTCCACTGTCTCTGAGGGGTAGTCACATAGTGGGCAGGCCGCAGAATCTCTCTCTCTCTCTCTCTCTCTCTCTCTCTCTCTCTCTCTCTCTCTCTCTCTCTCTCTCTCTCTCTCTCTCTCTCTCTCTCTCTCTCTCTCTCTCTCTCTCTCTCTCTCTCTCTCTCTCTCTCTCTTTCTTTCTCTCCCTGTTTCAATAAGTGGTACGCATCAATTACTCGTGCACAAGAAAGCCTGGGTACACCAGCATGCAAGCATTGAATCGAGTTGAGAGAGTGCTCCACCAGCTTTTAAGGTACAATTCCTAACTTTATAAACACATCAACACTTTGCAGTGTGACCAGCCAGGAGAGCGACTGCAACCGACTTCTTGGGCCTGGCGCAGAAATGCGCCAGACCGGAATGGATAATTTTCACAGGTGCATTATTGCTCCAAGTGACCGCAAAGTGTTAAATGTAAAATATTTCAGCACTTTATGACCATACGTTAGTTTCCTAATCATAACCATTTCATGCTTTCCATATGATCTGAATCAATGCTTAAACCACTGAACAAATACTGATCATAACATTTCAATACCTGAAGAACACTGCCCAGCTGGGAAGCCACAAATGTTAGGCCAAGGCAAATTGCTCCAAACACAAGAGCTGAAACATAAGAAAAAAAAAAGAAAACATAAATATATATATATATATATACATATATTATAATATATAATATATATCAATCAGCATCTCTAATTGACCTGCAGGTGGGGCCCCATAGTTTTACTACTGGGGAGTAAAGAATACTCCTGTCGTGATATTGTGCGTCGTAAGAGGCGACTAAAGGTGCATAGGTCTGGCCACCCGAAAAGTACCAGTTTGCAGAGGGCAAATTACCCGACCCAGTAAAAAAGGAAAGTTATAGAAACACAAAACAAACACGCCTTATAATTTTTCCATGTTGGGAGACGGAGGAGCTTCTGCATCAGCAGGAACAATGAAGGACAGTGGACAAAGTCGAATAGACTCTTCTGACCCGAAACCTTCTCTGTCTAACAAGTCTCTCCGGAGTGCGTTGAGGAATGTTCGCACTATGTATGAAGCAGGAAAGAGTTCTCAAAAGGCACAAGAGAAGAAAAAATACAGGCTGCACATACTCGGAGTCAGCGAAACCCACTGGATACAGTCTGGACTGAAGCAGCTCAGCTTGGGGGAACAAATATTGTATTCTGGGAGGGAAGATAAGCACCATGGGGAGGGAGTTGGAATTATTTTGCGTAAGTATGGACAGAAGTCACCACAGGTGGAGAGGATCATTATGGCTTCTTTGACTACCAGAAGTAAGAGCATCAACATGAACATAGCACAGATCTACGCCCCAAAAAACGATGCTTCGGAAGATGACAAGGATGCTTTTTACAGCCGGCTCCAAGGGGTCATCGACAAACTACCTAGGAAGGATGTCAACATAATAATGGGAGATGCTAATGCCAAGATTGGCCAAGACAATGTAGGTTATGGGGGAATCATGGGACAACATGGCCTGGGACAAATGAATGAGAACGGAGGGCGATTTGAAAATATCTGTGCTTTCAACAGTCTTGTCATTGGAGGCTCTGTTTTTCCCCACAAGAGGGTCCACAAGGCTACTTTGGTATCACCGGATGGAGTGACAGAGAACAAGATCAATCATTTTGGTATCTCTCGTAGGTTCAGGCGTTCACTGAAAGATGTCAAAGTACAGAGAGGGGCAGATGTTGGATCGAATCATTATCTGCTGTTAGCAAAACTCAAGCTTCGTCTCAAAAAGCACGGAACCAGAAGAGGAACCAAAACAATGAAGTTCCAAGTAAGTCTTTTAATAGACACAAGAAACAGGAGTATCAACTGCAGTCGAGGAACAGATTTCAACCCTTGGCTGATCTTGGTGAGGAGGACATGGAGGTGGAGATGCACTGGACTAAGGTCAAAGAAGTCTTTACTTCAACATGTCAAGAAATATTCGGTGAGAAGAAATTGGAGCACAAGGAAGGGATTAGCCGACGGTCGTTGGATTTGATTAGCATTAGAAGACAATAAATAACAGAGACAAATGCAAGTAGAACAAGGGGATCAAAAGCAAACGCATTGGAGCAGTACAGGACAACAGCTAAAGATGTAAAGAGATTACTGAGGAAAGGCAAGGAGGAACTCATGGACAGGCTTGCAGAGAGGGCAGAGGGGGCAGCAGCACGAGGGAAAATACGAATCCTTTACCAGGCTACTAAGACTCTTTCTGGAAAATATGGGAAACCAGAAGTAACAGTAAAGGACCAAGAGGGATAAACCATTTTTGGAAAGGAAGCTCAGTCAAAACGATGGATGGAGCATTTCAACAGTCTCCTGAACAGACCACCTCCAAGTAACCCGCCAAACATCCTGCCACCAAGAAATGAGCCCCATCAAAACAAGAGATTATGGATGCCATTAAGAATATGAATAATGGTAAAGCGGCCGGTCCTGATCAGATTCCAGTTGAGGCCCTAAAAACAGATGCCAATGTGACGGTAAACCTCCTTCTCCCATTGTTTACCAGGATCTGGAAAGAGAGCAAGTTCCCAAAGGATTGGAAAGAAGGACACCTTGTAAAACTACATAACTGCAGCAACTACCGAGGAATCACTCTTCTCTTTATACCAGGTAAGGTCTTCAACAGAATAATTTTGGAGAGAATCAAGTCTCCAATGGATCTAAGACTTCGGGATGAACAGGCTGGTTTTCGGAAAAATCGGTCAACCACGGACAAGATTGCTACACTGAGGATCATAGTGGAACAGTCCCTGGAGTGGGACTCCCAGTTGATCGTCAACTTTCTTGACTATGAGAAGGCCTTTGACAGCATAAATCGAGCAACTCTGTGGAAGATACTGAGACATCACAGAATCCCAAAGAAGTTGGTTAACCTCTTAGGGAGCAGGTACGAAGGGACATGTTGCTGGGTTATACATGATGGCCAGCTCTGACATCAAGACTGGTGTGAGACAGGGATGTTTACTATCACCTTTCCTCTTTATCTTGGCAATCGATTGGCTGGTGAAGGAAACCACCAAAGGACACCGAAACAGCATACAGTGGACCCCATTGACACAGTTGGATGATCTGGACTTTGCAGATGACTTGACACTTCTGTCACACACTCAGGAACAGATGCAAAAAAAGACAACAATTTTCAACAGCCTATCAGAGTCTGTTGGATTGAGGATCAACCCCGGAGAGTCAAAAGTCCTAAGGACAGATGCACTACAAAAGGAGCAGGTCACAGTAGAAGGAATGCACTAGAAGATGTAGAATCCTTTTGCTATCTTGGGAGTATAATTGTCAGAGAGGGAGGAACAGGCACTGAAATAAAGTTCCGCATTGGAAAGGCACAGACTGCTTTTATTTCTTTGAACAGGATTTGGAGGACCAGGGATATCTCACTACGAATAAAGCTTAGAATTTTCAACTCAAATGTGAAGTCAGTCTTGTTGTAAGGATGTGAGACGTGGAACGCATCTCAGACGTGCATAAAGAGGATCCAGGTTTTCTTAAACAAGTGCCTGAGGAAGCTACTGAGGATCAAATGGACAGACAGGATGACCAACGAGGAAGTATTAAGAAGAATGAGACAGAGCCCAGTCAGAGATGAGGTGGGAAGAAGACGTTGGCGATGGATTGGACCCACTTTGAGGAAGTCAAGCAGCTGCATAACAAGGAAAGTGTTAGAATGGAACCCACAGGGTAAAAGATCAAGGGGAAGACCACATGGAACCTGGAGAAAAGTCACAGAAATGGATGTACAGAAAAGTGGGAAGACGTGGAGTGACATCAAGCCACTAGCCCAGGATAGAGAAAGATGGAAAGTGTTTGTTCGTGGCCTATATCCTGATCCAGTGTGATGATGATGATGTTCTGTAATTGACAGAAATTTAAACTACAGGAAAAAATTAATAGGGTTTCTTTATTTAAAGAAAATAACAGCCTTTGCTTGTTTAAGTATGTAGTCTATTCTCCCTAGTGCATCCTTTTTCCTCAACCATCTCCCCTCTGCCATCATCTTTCCTCTTGCCCCACCTCTTACCCCTTCTAAGGGTCCCCTACCAAAACCTATTTTAACATCTAAACCTTTGACAAATGCAAGGGAAGCAAACTACTTCATGTACAACTACTTAGAAGAACAGGAAGTAAAGACTGTTGGTTTCGTATGATAATGAGTTGGACAGGTGGCTTTCCGAGAGCTCTCATCATATACCACCCAGTATATGGAATGGTGATGGTTTATTTGTTTGGCATTGTTTGTTTTGGTAAGGGTTTCATGGTGCTCACAACTGCATAAGGTCATAAGAATGTGCAGGGCTCAAGTTGGTCATTTCAAAGGAAAGATTCTAAATCTGTGAGAACAAGAATGTACGTCTTGCATGAATTTTTAATTTTGAAAGGGATAGCAAAATGACTGAAACAGTTCATGGTCTTGGTTAGCAAATATAGGGCACAGTAAAAGTTGAAAATACCATACATCATGAAGGGATTCAAGCAGCTAGAAATCTCGCCCATAATTTGTGAATAAACTCTTGCTTACCCAGAACCTGAGAATAAAGTCTTGCTTTATCTTCTCGTAGGTCCTTCTTGAAGTAAGCTCGAATGACATCTTCCAGGATTGCAGCAGAAATAGAATTCAGTCCAGAAGAGATTGTGCTGAAAAAAAATGTTTTTTTTCAAAAGCTCTGTTAGTTTTTTGTTGTTTTTTTATCTAACATTTTTTTTTACCTCATTTTATTTCTGTATATGAACTACGTTTTCATAGCAGTATAATATTCATAATTATAAAGTAACTGTTCCCCCTGTTTAAAGATTCAATTCTAAGACTCTCTTAAATGGGAATGTTATTTCTATTGTCAATGTCAAAGGGAAACGACCTTCTTAAAACTACGTTGATAGCTTTGAAAGCAAAGCACACATCACATTACTTGGAAACCAGACTGAGAATACAAATAATTCTGTAAAGATAAAAAAGTTCTGACCACACTTGGATTTTAGTTCTGAACATCTTCTAAACCATTGCTTTATACAGCTTCTCACTAGGCTGCTGTTTATTATTTGAGTTTGAATCATTCCAAAACTTAGTTGTGTAGAAATTTCTTGTTTTTTTCTTGATACCCTATCCTTTTAGAGAGGGGGGGGGGAGGGTTGCTCACTGTCCATCTCTAAAAAAAACTTCAACGTTAAAAAGGGTGCTAAAAAAATTCTGAAACTTAATCTGATGAACAATCAGAGCAGTTCTCATAATTAAACTCTTCTTCAAAATGAGCAGGCATATAGAAAAGATGAGTTAGCATTTTCAACAGGCATACAGAGAGATGAATCTTTCTCCATGCCTTTTCCACTGGAAAGATTTTCTTAAGCTTTATAGCTGAAGCAATAGCACTTTTAATTCCTTAAATTCACGGCACACTTCTTACCATCCCTTAATTTTAAACTCCTCACAAAATACACCATTACTCATAGAGCAAGTTGAAAAACCTTTATTTTTAATAATCTTTTTCCTGGAAAATTTTAATAATCCCACATGTTTCAGTCAAGTACTTTTAACTTAAGTCAAAGTCTAGGTTACATTATAAATTGAACGAGAATCAGGCTAATTGTATATATGTTCTAAAGATTTTATATGTAAACAATAGATCTAGGCCTTTACTTTGAACAGTGAAAGATAAAGAAAAACACTTCATATTTACCTCAATGCTCCACTAAAAAGTCCAGCAACAAACAATCCAGGCAACCCTGTCACATCTCCAAGAATGTCCATCACAAACATAGGAAGGAGCTGGAGAAAAACAAAATCATTTTCTTGATGACCTGGATGTTAAATTGCATTTACTTTTATAATTATTATTATCTTTATTATTACTATTACTATTACTATTATTATTATTATTATTATTATTATGGAAAAAATTAAAACATTTATATATAGGAAGCCTTTAACAATATTTAATAACGTGTACACATTGCTCTTGACAATATCTTGTTGTGAAAATTCTGTGGTATTTGAATTTACAGGTATTTTTTACAGAAGACTGTAACTTGAGTGCTTATTAAGGTTGGCCTAGTTAGTTTTGTTATTTATAGGGCAGCTCAAAGTTGGGAAATTAAGAGGCAAAAAGTGACAATCTCTGAGATACCCTGCATGAAGGCAAGCATTACATCTCTGATAGAAAAATAAAGACCAAAAGGCAAAAGTCTAAAATGAAATAAATCAAACTTTTCAAATAACAGTATTGTCTACCTGGTTTGAATCTGTAACAAATTCTCCTTTCAGAGGGTCACACTTTTCGTAGAAAGCACTCATAAAGATTCCAATGAAGCAGCAGAGGTAAAGAATGAGGCAAAGCCCTGGGAAATTGAGCCACACGGCTCTAGAAAAAAAAAATGACACATGATAAAATCATGACATTCAGGGGACTGTGAACAAAAAATATAGCGCATATTTACCATGGCAACAAATGTTACAGAAATTAAAATAGAAAACTCTACGGTACATTCTAAGATAAATAGAGAATATAGATACGATTGATGATAATGTTTGAATCTTGCTGCACATTTTATACTTCATTCAAGAAGATAGACCATGCTGAGAACACAAAACTACAAAACATATTTTCTGGTGTCAAAGTTTCCCTTCATGACTCTCTTTCTTAGTTAAATCAGAATGACCAGCAAGAACAAGCAACAATAGGCAAAGTTTTTTCTTTAGTTATGATTAAACCATTATGTCATGACGTGGTAGAATCAGGCATTGGTCAATTTTGGGGCATATGGGGTTATTCATCATCATCATTTTTGCCTTTCTCACCCTGCACCAAGTCCAGCTCATATGACCTTAAGCAGTTGCAAGCGCCGTAAAACCTTACTAAAACTAAACTAAACCCTGCACAAGGGTATAGGCCATGGAATTATTGGTATCATCTTAAAGCCTGTTCATTTGCCTTCATTTTGTTAAAAAAGATATTCATCTCTTTTGAATAGAAGTCGAAATATTTGCGATTGAAGGAGGTCAGGGTTCGAGGTAGAAATTAGAGAGAAAACGGCAGCCAAAGTTTGGTAACTTTTATAGTCTGAGAGTCTTTGGCAACACAAAATTTACATTTTTTGTGCTTTTAATTAATGTTTTTCAGTAAAATCCACACTAAAATGTGTTTCCAAATGGACATAAAAGGTGTTGAGTCAAAAAAAGAATATTAGAAAAAAGCTGCCAATCGGCCAAAAAATTGCCGATTTTTTTATCTCATTACTTTGACGAGCCCTGATTTCATCACGATGCCTCACAATTATTCATACACATGGAGAGGCCCACAAATTAACCCAAGTCTAGGTTATATGACATCTTCATGGCAGCATAATATACTGAATATCAAGGTGAAAGAGGTGCATGATAAGGATGACAGGTTATATGATCTCTCCCCCCCCCCTTTCCTCCACAAAAAAATAATAATTGAAAAATAAAAAATTCACATAATCCATTAACACATAGTATGTTACTCACATAAAAAACATAGTTTATTTTGTGAGTTGTGGGCTATTAAGTTAAGACCAAAGCAAAAATCAAAAATACAGAGGAAATCCATAGTCCCAAAACTTTGACTTACAATTTGGCATCCTTCAAGGTGGAGCAAGTGATTGCCCTTTGCACCTGAGCTTGGTTTACACCAAATATGGCAACCCATGTGAAATATCCACCTATCACAAGGGACCATACACTGTGTCTCACTGAAGGATCTGGGCTGAAACTGAGGACAAATAAATTAAGTTTTCATGTAATAGCACTAAACGTAGAAATAAACCACAGAAAATGTGTATTTAAATGCGGTTGTGTAACGTTCTGGGTAAATGGGGTCAAACAAGAAGTAGGCCTACCAAACTGTATTTTTGCAGTTTATTCATGTACAGTCAAAATGTCATATGAATTGTTCAACTAAAGACAAGAAATTAAAACTGAAACAACTGAAATGAGAAGGAGGTAGAGGTGGAGGAGAATGAAGAGGAGAAGAAGGGAGAGACAGAGAAGAAGAAAGTAAGAGGAGGAGAAGGATGATGATGATGATGATGAGGAGGAGGAGGAGGAGGGGGAAGAGATGGAGGAGGAGGAGGAGGAATAGGAGGACAATTATAACAACAAAGAAGAAGAAGAAGAAGAAGAAGAAGAAGAAGAACAAGAACAAGAACAAGAACAAGAACAAGAACAAGAATAAGAACAAGAACAAGAAGAACAAGAATTGGAACAGTAACAAGAACAAGAACAAGACAGCCATGAAGGAGAGTAAAGATCGGAGGAGAACAAGGGATGACCCAGACAAAGGTGGTGGGAGAAGGAGATTAAAAAACCCATCAAAACAAGGAAAAGCTGAAAAGGGAATCTCAGCCTGGCCTTACTCATCAAACAACAGACGGTTGGTTCTTCTGGCAGACTCCCAGGCCGGCTCAATCCCGCCCACGATAATACCGCCCTTGATGAGGACAGCCAGCAGACTGGCCACCATCATGCACACCTGGAAGCAGTCAGTCCACAGCACAGCCTTCATACCACCCTGGAAGAAAAGAACACAACATAAATTATTCTAAATAAAATTTTGTTTTTCCTTTATAGTTTTAAAATATTTTTACCCCCCCCCCCCCCCCCCGCCTACTGACATAATCTATTTTTATTATTTAAAAGGTGGACTTCCGTCGACCCTGCCTGTCATGGCCAAATGGAAGGCTGAGAGGGATACAACATCCCAACTGACAGACCGAGAACTGAGATTCTTGATAAAAATTTCTCCCCACTAAGGAATCGAACTTGGGTCTCCTGTGTGACAGCGAAGTGCCTAACCATTACATCACAGACTACGATGGGACAACATTTGTGTGCATTTTAAGAAGAAGAAGAAGAAGAAGAAGAAGAAGAAGAAGAAGAAGAAGAAGAAGAAGAAGAAGAAGAAGAAGAAGAAGAAGAAGAAGAAGAAGAAGAAGAAGAAGAAGAAGAAAAAGAAGAAGAAGAAGAAAACATAAGATAAGACTTTATTGTTACAGAGGGTCTTTGTCTTATTGTTTAACTCTGCTGCTTCATTAGAATCTTTGTAAGTGCATTTTTTCTTACCCATCCCTATAACTGCCAGAATTTTATCATGTGCCACTACATTTTTTTCTAATGCTATGCGGCTCAATTTCTAGGGACTTTGCCTCATTCTTTACTTCTGTTGCTCCATTGAAATCTTTATGAGCGCATTTATATAGCGCATTATCACACTCAACAGCATGCTCTCTACACTGTTATTACCGCAGAAGCCCCTAGAACGCCACTCAGTAACATTCTTGTCTTCCCGGAAAGCATCATGCAAGCTGCAGATTGCATGCGCTAAAACATTAACAACAAACTGGTCGGATCTTTTGCTGTCTATACCTCGAAACCCATTTCCACTAAGATGAATTGAGAGAGAGAGAGAGAGAGAGAGAGAGAGAGGGGGGGGGGAGAGAGAGGGGGGGGATGGGGGGGGGGGGGGTGGTAGGAGTATGTGTGTGGAAAGTAGCGAGAAATGGGAGCCGTTTATTAATTAAATGAGTCAGTCACTGTGCAAATAAGTGAACCTGAAAATATGTGAGCATTAGAGCAGGCAAGCGAAAGAGGGAAAGAAAGAGAGAGTAAATGAAGCAACGAATGGGCGGTAAGGGAGTGAGAGAATGAGTTGAAAAGATGAGAGTGAGTAAGGTAGTTTAAGACGTAGGCCACGCTGGAGCACCAAGGAGTTGCTATCGTTACACAATAAACCCCACCCTCCCACAACCCTTCCAGGTACTGCACCGTTTGCCAACACCATGAAGTAGCTAGTCTCAAAATTTACCACGGAGTAGCTACCGTCCAGGACTGTCAAACACGCATTCAGATTTCAGAACCTGAGTTAACGCGCATGGATCTAAACTGTTATGTACAGGATGACCCCCCCCCCCCCCCCTTAAAAAAACTCCAAACAAAAACCAAAAAAACCCCTCCAAAAAACAACAACAAACAAACTGTACAACTTGTTTTATAAATATCTTCATCTAAGTTTGGGGTTTCAGATTTGAACATAATATTTGGAAGCCAAAAGGAATTTTTCTGATAATAATATTCATTTTAGATAAGCCCATTGGATGATTATGTTCTACATGGCGCATTAAAATAACAACCTATTTTCAACCTTGTCCCCATTTTCGAAGCATGACGCACCAGTTCGCATTAGGTCTACGACTGAAAGTTGCAACAATCGCGCCATATTGCAAGCTACAGCAGTCTAAAAAGTCTATAGAAGTCTGCAGATACTAATTTTCCGCACGTTTTGTTTGCATGCTGAGATCATGGTTAAGTTTAGTGAACAGCAGAGAGCTTTTTGTATTAAACATTACCTGCCTCTCCACAAACTCACCATCCCTGCCATTTCGTAAGTTCTGCGCAAAACATGGAAATAATGCTTGGGTGCTCTTAAGACCTTATGTGCTATGTTTGGGTCTATAGCGAATCAGAACTAAAAATGTCCTTTAAAAACCAGGTCGAACACGCACTATGAGCAGCCCTTTGAACGTCACCAAGGTGCAGATTTTAGTAGTCGAGTCCCATGAGACGTCTGTCCGAAGACGATCTGCAGCTAGGATTTCCCTACACCTCAACAGTCTGCATTCTCATGGCAGATCTTAACCTACGACTGAAGGCCTAGCATGTTTACCTTCGCTAGGCCGAGATGACACGGATCAAAGCAAGGCAAAGTGTTCGTGATCCTTCGATTGTCTTGAAAAGGGAGATCATTTCCTCCATTACATTTGGTTTAGTGCAAAGGCCATTTTCACTCTGCGGTGTGTGCTAACTCCAAAAATGCTGCTTTTTGGGTACCCACTCTCTATTAACTCAAGAATCCACTTCATACTGAATATGTACAGTGTATGTGGCTTTAAACACTCGTGGCTTAGCAGGTCTTTGTGTTTGGGCGCCATTGAACATTTCAAACGACGCGTAAATATGTGTCGAGTCCAAAGGAGAGCATGTGGAGCACTTCTTCTAGGAATTCCAGAATTAAATCAGTAGTTCTTTAAACTCTGTAAAAAAAAATTAGATATTGTGTTTAATTGTCACAGGGATGGAAAATTAAATGTCAAAGAGAAAATAAACCCAAAATCAACCGATGTTTTCACGACTTCCTTTACAAGATTTAAAAAAATAGGTGAACTTTGCGTTTTTTCGGTGCTTTTTTTACTTTAAGCCTTTTCCCTTTTCAAAAAAGTTTCTCCTTCGTGGATTTTATGTCAAACAAATTTCTTTTGAACTAATTTTTATTATGTCTGTTCCAAATGACAGCATTCTAGAACAATTTTTGTGCGAGATATTCAGAAAAAAAAGTTGTAGTTTTTTTTTTCTTGGACCACCCTGTATTTGAATTTTTTTTTAAATATATAAGTTTAGAAATTGAGTTGTTTTGTTGCTTGGTCTTTCCTTTTTAAAAAATGTTTTTTGTGTGAACCCGTCAACACCCCACCCATCTCCCTACCCCACCCCTCATCACTGCAAGAAAAAATAATACATGTTATTATAAACAAGGTCCTGACAGCTTATTACACCACCCAACCCCCTCCCACACACACAAACTATTCTCTTACTCAAGTTACACTGTGTTGCATCCCAAACGCTACTCACGATCATATTACCAGATCTAGTAATTACTCATTTTACTGTGTAGTTAACACATGTTAACTCAAAGCACAAGCGCACCTGCTGAGTTATTTATTATCTAGTCAAGCGTTTGCGTTTCACGTTTCTGATCATTACACGTTTCATTCCCGGCATGGTACCTTCGGGGGCTGTCTTCAGTTTAGTTGTCTGTTGTTTTTATTTCTTTTCCCATTGGTATTGATTCCACAATATTTAAAGCAAAAGTAGTTTCTCTGTTGTAGATTTTGGTAGCTACTCCGTGACGCTTCGTTCTTTGACCTTACGTCAAAAGGTGGATCATTGATAGCTACTCCATGGAGCAGCCGACCAGGCACAGGAAGGGTCAATAAAAAGGCACAAAATTATAGTCCCACAGCCTGAAAACAACTGAGATGAAAGTGTCCAGGAAAGAAGATAAACATTCTGACTGCTGTCCGATACAAAACGCAGATTTAATCTACTGTTCGTTATTCAACCTCAAAGTGAAACTTTCTACAACAGTCAGTAGTAGATACACACATGGCTCAGTTGGCAACATGCCTGTTTACAAAGCAGAAGACCTCGGTTTCAATCTCGAACGAAAAATGAATTTGGTTGATTT